TAACACTTCCTATGGCTGTTAAGAGAATCAAATGAGCTAATATATGTAAAGTGCTCTATAAAGGCTAGCTATCATTATTATAATGGGATTGTTGTTATGGAAAGCTCAGGGCACAGCTTGCTTGCTGGGCCTTAGCTCTAGAAAACAGGGTGTCTCCTAATATCTTGACATTATTATTATTATTTACTTCAACAACTACCATGAGGGGAAACACATTGCCTTATGAGGCAACACTTACTATTTTTTGGATCATTCCAATTGTTTAGAAGTTTTTCCTTTCCTCAGGCCTAACAAGTTACCTTCTAGGGCCGAGCTGAGCAAGTGTTTCCCTCCTTCCCATTCCCCTTCCCCCTGCATCTGGTCGCTCTTTGAAGTACTTGAAAACAACCATTTCATGCCCCCTAAGTTTTGTCTTTTCCTGGCTAAAGACCTCTAGTTCTTCCAAATAATTCTCATATAGAATGAAATTGAATGAACAGTTCTGGTAGCCCTACCCTGGACCATTTCCAGCTTATCAACATCCACAATACTCCAGATGTGCTCTGATTGATGTCTCATATTAAACTTGCAGACCCCAGACTCCCAGATGTTTTTCACATGAACTGCTGCCTAATCTTAACTTCTTTATTTTGTACTTAGGAAGTTGTTTTTTTTTTTTAAATGCAAGTGTTACACTTCAGAATGATTATGCTCTATTATATATGATCACATTAGATTTGGCCTACTGCTGTATCACATCAAGAGCTTTTTAGATCCCAGATTTGCTATGTGTTAGCTCTCCCTCCTGAATTTTGTCATCTGCTAATCATACTATCTAGGCTTTTATTGAAGCCATTGATAAAATTGCTAATCACTTCCAAACCTATCTAATCATATAATATCTAGTTGGACAGTTCTCAAAGTATGGTCCTGGTACCACAAGACCCTTTCAGGGGTTCTTGAGGTCAAAACTATTTTCATGATAATACTAAGACCTTTTAATTTCAAATATGGTCAGTGTTAAATTAAAATTAAATATTAGATTAAAATTAACTGCAGAAGGAAATGGCAAACTACTCCATTATCTTTGCCAAGAAAACCTCATGGACAGTAAGGTCCACAGGGTCATGAAGAGTCAGACATAACTGAACAACTACAACAAATATTAGAATGATATTGGCCTAATATATTAAAATAGCCTATTTAAGCATATTAATATTACATACCTGCATAAACAAAAGCTTTGGAGGGGAGTCCTCAATAATTTTTAAGACTATAAAGGATACTGAGACCAAAAAGTTCGAGAATGACTGATCTAGCCTGTATCTTTCCATCTTGTCCACAATGAGAGGCTTTGTCAAATGCTTCATTAAAATCTAGGTAAACTCTATCTCTAGAGCATTCTCCTGATCTCTCAGTCTAGTAATTCTGTCAAAAAAGGAAATGAGGTCATTCTGGCATGACCTGTTCTTAATGAAGTTATGCTGGTTCTTTGATATCAACACTTCCATTTCTAGATGGTCACTAAACTTCCTTTAATAATATATTCTAAAATATTCCCTAGGACCCAAGTCAGGTTCACCCACCTACAGTTTTCAGGCATCATTGTTTTCTCTTTTTTGAAAATCAGCACATTTGCTTCACTCCAGTCCCACTGCATTTCCCCCACTTTCCACCATTTTTCAAAGGTCACTGAGAATAGTTCAACAATTTTATCTACCAGTTCTTCTGATACTCTGAAATGTAATGAATGGCTAGGTCTCTTCTCTATCACAAATTTTAAGACAGAATGATCACTCTCCTCTAAGATTCTCATGTGTCCACTCTAGCAACCAGTCTCTCCTAGCCCCTGAGAAAAATGCTTCGGATTTTGCCTCCATTGATCTTCACCTACCTTGTAGGGAGAAAATGGGACAAGAGAGTAGTTTCCAGGGGATCAGAGAATGGAGATATCCAGATGAAGCTGAGGGAGAAAACCAGGAATGGAACCTGGAGGCAAATAGCTCTGGATTCAGATAGGAATGTGTCTTCCTTGATAGGAGTCAAAAGGGTGGGCATGAAGGACTTCTGAAAACTAGTAGTTTGGGCAAGAAATCCCATGGAAATTGCAAATTGGGGCTGGGTACTATGGAGGTAAAGTGTCTGCTTAGGCTCTAGACTCCCACTTCCATATAATTAAGGGTATCCTGAACAGCCAAATCCATGGCGCTTAATTACACTTACTTATCACCTCAAAACAGCCCTGATGAATCTGGGAGTAAGTAAGAGGTTCATTCTAAGACCTAGACCTGGTAGAAACAGGTCTGGCCACAGGGAAGAGGGAACTAAGAAAGAGGAAGGCTTAGTTCCTGTAATCAAGTAATAAGAACCTTTACAATTTAGGAAAATTACATCCTTTTAATCTTGTAAAGTTCTCCATTATGTCTTTCCACCTAAATAATGCGATGTTATATGGTCCAGAGGGAAGGGGGAGGGGGCAATCTTCCAGCCAGTTCTCTTCCACCTTTTCTCCAGACCTTGAAGGAAAGGAGGAAAGTTAGGGGAAGTGGTAATGAAAGAAACTCAGGAAAAGGCTGGTTCTTTGGAAAACTGGTATAAAACTGAGTTGGTACAAGTGGAAGAGATGTGGCACTATTCCTTCCCTTCTCACTTCTTCCAGGCCCAGGTACCACCTGGTACCACATGTTTGAGTAGATTAATGACATTATGCTATCTATACATTAGGATTAATCTTCTAGTGGTAAAATGATCTAAAAGTGGCAGAAGGCTTAGATAAGGGGATGTTCACTCTAGACATAGGAAGACAGCAACATATAATGAGGGCCCAAATTAAGGTGTCACTAATGGTAATAGAAAGGAGGGCTACCTGTTAGACATTACTGAAATGCACTTCAAATACTTTACAGGTTAAATAGTCTTTTATGGGCTTGCCTGGGAACCTAATTATCATCTAAACCATTGGTTAGATGGCCTAACTCAACAATTCCAAGCAATCACAGGTGACTTACAACTTTCAGTATGGCTCTCTTCTCATCATTGTATATAATGTATATTACTGTATATGTTGTACATAGGATTAAAATTGTAACAAACAGCAAGGTTGAACATTGAACAAGGGAGCGAGCAACTGAACTTCTCAAACCCTGAGAAGCAATATCTGAAGGGAGCAAACTTAAGACATGATTGAGAAAATTTCAAGAGAGATGGATGGTGGACACACTTCATTCATTTTAGACATCCAACCAAACCCAGTTTAATTATTCAATCCCCTTATCTAAGACTTCACTTCCCTCCACAACCCAAACTTTCCGGAACCTTCCTTTCTTTGACTTTCTAATTAATCGCTTAATCAAGAACTGCTGTAAAAGGCTGCTTGCATTTACATAATGGCCTCTCTCAGCTGGGATTTCCTACAGCTTTGCTCTTCTCTTCCCACGTCTAGGCTCCTGCGGGACAGGTAAAAACGTATTACCAATTTAAAAGGGTCCAGGAAGGGAAATAACAATAATGGCCCACATTTACCTAGTGCTTTACAAAATAAAATTCTTTTGCTGGGGAAGTAGATAGCAAAGCTCTTTATTTTTAAAGCTCGATGTAAATGTCAGCTGCTTCTGCTGCCCACACAGGCTGATTTGCTCCAGGTCCTCAGGAACAGACTAAAGCTATCAACCACTTCCATTTTCTGACCAAGGTGCCCTGTCTAAATTCAAATGCCGAAATGCCATTAAACGTGGACATAAACTGAGGACGCGACAGGGAATATTTCAAGAGAGATGGATGTGGACACGTTTCGTTCATTTTAAGACATTTCACTAACCGCAGTTTAGTTATTCAGCTCCCTTATCTGTAACATTACCTCCCTCTCCACCACTGCTTCCATTCCCTAGCGTTCTAATCAATCATTTAATTAGGCGCGTGGGTGCTCTAAGCCCAGCTCTTACGGTGCAAGGTAAGAGAGGCTGGATGCAAGCTGGATGGGCTGAACTTATGCTACTCAACTGGAGAGGTGAATCCGGGAACGGCCACTCTGCAACGGATAACATCCCTCCTCTTCCCACTCCATCCCCAAGAAGTAAACTGGGACTCTTTTTTTAATTTATTTTTCCAGTCAGGCCCCAAGATCAGCGGCTGCGCTAGGGAAGCCTGGACCCGGGAAGCCCCAACCGCAGGGATTTGTTAGCGCGGCCGAAACTACAAATCCCAAGATGCAATGCGGTCCCCGCCCCTTCTTCGCTAGTCTGGGCTGGTGGCAGAGACCGCGAGCATTCTAGTTAATGCTCTCGTGCTCGGCCTTCCTTCGGCGCAATGCGTCTAGCTAGTCCCAGTTTCTTAGGGCGCCGGTTGCTTCCGGCCCTCTCGGGTTCTTCCTATGGTAGGGAGGCAGGAGTGGGCGGTGCCACAGACTAACACGTCTCTCGCTTGGGGTCGGGAATACGCGTGTTCATTCCACTGGAGGATAAGGGAGGCGGGGCCTGGAGGTTCCATTTAGAAACTAGAGGCGAAATGGGAGGAGAAAGACGAGCACATGCGCACTAGAGGAAGTCGAGCCGTCAAAGCGTCCGTGCTGCCATGCTTGAGCAGAAGGGAAGCCGTACAAAAGACGCCTGCGCACGAGCCTCAAGCTCCCTGCGTAGTCTGGTCCTAGTCCCATTTCCCGGAAATGATGTTGATCATGCGTATTCCAGCTGCCTACGCTCCTCCCCCAGGTCTGTGGGCCCCGCCCCCGAGGGATAGCCCCGTCTCTTTCCCCTCCTCCCTCCCTCCCCCTCCCTTCCCTCGCTCTCCTGTCGGCCCCCTCCCCTCCCTTTGGCTGTGGTGGCGCCTCAGACCGCCGCTGTCGCTGCCGGGGCCCCGAGCGACACTGAGTTATCCCGGAGGCGCAGCCGGGATATGAGCTGTGCCTGTCGCTATTCCCGTCTCGCCGGCCCGCGCTTCTGTTGCAGTCCTGAACCCGCGCCTGCGGGGCTGTGCGCTCTTGCGTCTGCTGGTGTCCCAGCCCGGGCCCCGCGGCGGCGGCTGCAGTGCCCCCCGGCCCGCCCCCTCCTCCCATGGCGGCGGAGATCCAGCCGAAGGCGCTGACCCGCAAGCCGGTCTTGCTGCAGCGAGTGGAGGGGTCCCAGGACGTGGTGAATATGGCAGTGATCGTGCCTAAGGAGGAGGGAGTCATCAGCGTCTCGGAGGACAGGTACGGGACCCCGCGGGGATGCCCCAGGCGGGATGGGGAGGACGGAGCCGGCGATCTTTTTCTTCTCTCGACCCTCCCCCACCCCCGGGCGATTTTGTTCCTTGGCTTCTACTTTCTTCACTCTTTCTCCTGGGGGGCTCCCTGGTCCCCCTCGGAGCACATCACCAAGCGCCCCAGCTCGCCCCAGTCGAACGAGCGCTGCGCGCCGCCTCCTTGTGCTGCGTGTCTCTTGGACGCGCAGACCCGACCCGCCGCCCGAGCCCTGGGCACTCCCCCGAGGATGTCAGTCTCCCCGCCCCTCGTCGTCCCTGGGCTATTCCCCCAGCTGACTGCGGGATGGGGTCGGGGCTGCTGTCCAGCCTCGGGCCTCGCTCTAGGGAGTGTCCGCACCTGAGCTGGCCCGCGTTGCAGATGCTGCCTTTTGGGCTCCGCGCGGCAGGTGCCCGAAAGACGCGCTGAACTGACCATTGGAGATAAGGAAGGTGTTTGATACATTGCAGTTGAAGCGTTTTCTGCCGGACTCTGAGAAGGCAAATCTTTCTCTCTGCCCACCATTCTTAGTACATTTTGAAGCGGCTTTCAGTAAACTGCATTTAGTTTACTGCGTTCAGTAAACGTTGCAAATTGCAAACCACTAACTTTACGTTATAGTGTGGTGGTTTCTTCATTCTTCTCTCCCCCTCCCAATCCCTTTTTACTTTCAAGGGGAAGTGCCTAGAACATACAAGGAACCAAGAAAACCCCTATAAATAGCTTTAGAGTTCCTTCCATCTTGCTGGCTTATTTGCTTTTAATTGTATACTACCTGACTTGCAAAAGTGGAGTTGATGCGCAGACAATAGCTTATCAAATAAGCAGAAACAGCTGACTAGGTTAATTTCTGGAAGAATGCTGTTTGAATATAGGTGACGGGGAGATCATAATTTAATTATAGTAGCTGATCAGATATACCAATAGATATTTGAGTAGCTAATATAAAACTACTGGACAGTTAAAATATTAGGATACTATATACTCAGTGTAAAATATGTAGTCAGGTTTAATTAATGAGTAGAAAGCATACCATGGCAGATCCACTTTCAGTGAAGGAAGTGGACTAAGTCGTGTGTTTAGTGCCGTTACCCTCAGCTTTCTGTATCTCCTTTATAAATGCAGCTTGGCCCTGCTATAAATCATTTATTAGGTTCGTCATCAAATGTACTGTTCGCATATTGGATGATGTTCTCTTATCTACCAGCTATGATCCAAAAGAAACCTGATCCATTTCCTCTGCAGTTTGATGGGAGAAAATGTAAACATACACCTCTGTCCTTGGCAAACAGTCTGCAATGAAATTCATCGCTGTAATTTAATATATGTTTGTCCTAACCTTCCAAAATTTGTGAAGAGACTTTGGGTTCTTGGTCTTTCCATAGAGGTAAAAGTTCATTATTATAAGTGCCATAGGTGTTCCACATTGTTTTTTTTTTATTATTATAAAATCTTGTTCTAAGTGAATACATTGGGAATGGGACTTTTTACCAGTTTGTAAGTACTTGGAGAGGAAAAGTAGCTGATCTCAGCTTCTATTTAATAAATAATTAAAACTTCTTAGACTCAGTAGGGAAAGAGACATGACAAAACCTTTACCCTATTTCTTTTCCCTAGATTACCAAGCTTTAAAAATTTCTTTTTTGTCTAGGTGAGGTGGGGTTTTGTGGAATTGTTGGATTTTAGAGCTGGAAGGGACTCTAGAAATCAACTAATTCAAGAGGCATCATTGTGTAGTTAAGAAGTATTAAGTGCTTACTTTGTGACAGGTACTTTACTAAGCTCTGAGATATATAGTAAGGCAAAAACAGCTCACAGTCTAATGGGGAAGATAACATGCAAGCAGCTATTTAAAAACAAGATAGATACAGGATAAATTGGAGATAATCTTAAAGGGAAGGCACTAATGTTAAGGGTGAGAGGAAAAGTCTACTTGCAAAGGTGAAATTTTTATTTAGCTGAGACTTGTAGAAAGTAGGAAATCCAGGAGACAGTGTAGAAAGAAGTCTGGATTTGGAGTCAAAGCCTGCTGCTACCCATGTGACTTTGGGAAAGTAACAATCTCTTTTAGGCTTTAGTTTCCTCTGTAAAGTGAAAGAGTTGAACGAAATGATTTCCAAAGCCCTTTCCAGCTCTGAATCCTTTGAGAATCCTTAACTTTTTTTTTTTGGTATACTAGACCTTTGTCTCCTCTCTTCCCCCAATAAGGAAACTTCCACTACCCAGAATTTCTGATTCCAAAGGTTGTTTCTGTTCAGTGCTTTGTCTGACTCTTCCTGACTTCATTTTTCTTAGCAGAGATCCTGGAATGGTTTGCTATTTCCTCTCCAGATCATTTTACAGATGAGGAACTGAGGCAAACAGGGTGAAGTGACTTACCCAGGGTCACACAGTAAGTGTCTGAAGCTGGATTTGAACCCAGTTTCTTCTGTCTTTAGTTCCAATGTGCTTTATCCATTGCAAAGCCTGACTGCCTATGATTAAAGATACAAAGGAATTATTTGTACCAAGATTATCAGGACTGTTACTGTTATTCTCTGCTGGACCTTGAACAAGTTATATGGTCTCTCTGGGCTCCATTTTACTCATGTGTAGAATGAGAGGAGGGTTCAACTATTTAATTTTTAAGGTCCATTTCAATTCTAAAATTCTGTCTATTCAGATTTTCCTTTTTGGTGGAGGAGGAGCAGATATAATTTCATTGGTTTGGAAATTTCCTCTACCAATGCAGATCCCAAGACTATAACTTAAAAGTTTTGGTTCCTGACAGCTTAATTGACTTACATATGGTTATACAGCTAATATATATTCCAGGCAGTTAGTGAACCGAGGTTTTCTTGACTTCAAGGTCAGCCCTTTATCCACCAAGCAACATTCCACTACCAAGCCCCATTGCCTCCTCTCTTAACTCTGCATTCGTTGTACAACCAGGTCCCAATTAGGGGGGTTAATGAATTCTGTGAAGTGGTCCCATGGATTCAAATTTGAACTGGAACTCTTGAAAGTTATAATTATGTAACATAGGATAATTGTATGTGACCACTTAATAGGATTCATTATTCCCCCTAATTGGGACCTACCTGTGGAATAATTTAGGCATTGGGTCATTCAATTGAGTGAAATTTAGTTATTGTGTTGCTTGACCTATAAAGAATCATATCAAATGTGTTCTTTGATTGTAAGCAAAATTTTCCCTATAGTTTATGATTTCTTTGCCTCTTACCGAAAAGACTGGAGAAATTGTCCTGAAGGTAGTAGGGAAATTGGATAGATTCAAACTGGTTTTTGAATATTTGAATCTTTTAATGACTTAAAATGGAGGGAGTGTCAGCTATGCTCAAAGTTCAACAAGTGGCATACTCGGAAATAATTATCAAGAGAAAAGGTTTAAAGTAAGTTGTAACCACAGGTGATTTTAAATCTTCAAAGAATAAATGTACCTTTACAAATGTTAAAACCCATATCCTTATACTTTATTCAGAAACCACGGCAACTGGTTTATGCCAGTAATCTGCGAGGAAACTGACTGTCTGTATGTCTTTTAAAGCCAGAATGCAGTTTTTTGTTTAAAAAAAAATTACTGGGAAAACTGATCAGAGAGTACTACATTGAAGACCTTTAGCTTTAACCTGAAGTGGCCCAAAGAAGTGAGTCCCAAAGAAGTCACTAAGTCATCATTCAGTTATGTAATGAAACCAGATACCATCCAATACCACAAGAATTTAGATCTGCTCAATCAGGATATGAAGATCCCGGATATTGCACCACTTTGAAAAGCGTTATGCCAATACTGGCTTTTTTGGAGTTGGTGATATTTATCTATTTAAAACCACTGAGATTTCATGTTTCTCTTCTCTTCCTGCCTCATTCTTTTTGCATTCTTCCAGAAACTTCCTTTGGAATGGAAATTTAGGTATAATCATAGTATAATCATAAGGGACTTGAAATCACCTAGACCAATAGCTAACTGTTTTCTTCTGCATAAATGGTGGAATCAAACACATAAAAAGAAACTTAACTTTTTGTGTAGACGTCTTCTCTTGGGTAACTATCATATCTTGCACTTTCCTTATTTTTAATACTGGAGAGAATTTGTTTCTTAACAGATGGCTCTAAATGATCCTGATCAATAATTTAGACAAACTAATAACATTTAGAAACCAACAATTAAATTGTGATTTGAGATTCCTATTAATAATAATAATAATGATTAATAATAGTAATTTAAGATTCCTGTTTTCTTTAACCCATGATTGGTTGATGGATAGATGTGGCATTGAACTGAATTACATTATAGTGTATACATGCTTGAGAGAAAAGTGAATGTCAGGCCACTTTTTCTTCTCAATTTCACAATTAGAAGGGAGAAAATTAGAGAGAAGGCAACCTTTAAAAAAAAAAAAACCTATGCAAAAATTCCAAAAGAGTTCCCTGACTGGCGGAAATTCCCTAATAGAAAAAAGTCATGTATTTAACTTTACAATTTTATTTGCCTTTTCTTTAGGGAAGAGGTATCAAATATCTAGGTTTCTGTCATTAGGTAAGAACCTGCAATATATATTTATTGTGAAAAAGACTTTGACAAATTAAAATCAAGGCCTTGTACCCAATCTGTTTGGCACTTGTCAGGGAGAACCTTATCTTCCTGTTCTTCATCCTTTATTTAGGATAGAAGTTTTTAACCTTTTTTGTTAACCTATGGACCTTTCCTCAGAATATAGTTTTTAAATGTGTAAAATACAATATCGATCACAAAGGAAACCAGTTATGTTGCAGCATGTTTATCAAAAAATTTTCTTTCTTTAAAACTTTATGGACCCCATGTTAAGAACCCTAGATTTGGGACATGTTTACCCACTGAATTCCTTAGTGGTTCTAACTTCTTGAAGAAGACAGACTTGGCTCACACTGTAAAACCAAATCCTGCTATTCAGGGAAATAAATCTGTGAGAATTCAAATATTAAAAAAG